AGCAATGGTCTCAAATGGCTTGTGGGATGAGATGAGAGCCCTTTTAGTTTAACATTTGAATATTTATGCATTCTCATAGAGAAACATTTTAGCTCCTTATTTTTCCCAGGCTATTAGGGTTCAGATGACCATTGAATTAGGACAGTTTTTAATGCTGGGCTTCCAGACAGAGCCTCATTAAAGGACACTCGGACCTGAATGGGGCTCACACGAAAATTCATTAATTTTTTATGTATGTGCAAATGTTTGCCTATGGAAAGGCACTGGAAGGCACTGGAAGGCATAGACACACCCTGTTGTGTCTCCTGTGGAGCAGGATAGAACTCTTGAGCAGGATAGATATCTTGCCTGTATCATAAATGCAAAATATTAATCTGAGATGGCCATAGAGCTGTGGTGGGCAGCAGCTGCTGCAGGGCCTGCTCCAAGGGACAGTGTTCCCACAAACCTGCAGTAAGAAACCAAACCACATCAACACCAAATTTCTGCTGTCCTGCCTCAAGAAAACAACATTCTCATTTGTGTAATACTATGAAAAGTGCAGCAAAGTCTCTCCTAAGCTCATACATTCCCCTTATATCCAGCTGTACACAATCACTGCCAATCCCAACCACCCCAGAGAACACCAGCAGCTCCATACCCTTCACAAACAATGCTGAAATGCAGAGACCTCCTAAACGTGCTTGTGCAAGACTGAAATGTGCCTTTGCTGCCCAGGACAGCCCTTCTGGGTTAGATGAGCCTGAGGATAAGCCAGTGCTTGTGAAGGTCTTCAAGGAGGATGAAGCCCCACTGACCTGCTTGGGCAGGAAAGCAGGTCCTGCTGCCCCATCACTTTTGTTAAATCCAGCATGGAAATCGCTCCACTGCACCTTGCTGCCTGCCCTTGTCCAAGCTCACAAGATAACCTCAGGAAAAATTCTGCAGAAGGCTGAGCTGGGGACACAGCAAGCAGAATAAATGTGCTCACCTTTCTCCTGTCAAAACCCAACCTGACAAATTCACCATTTAAACTAAGCAGCACTGAAACAGACCTGTGAAATGGTTTGGGTTAGAGGAACCCTAAAGATCATTTTGTTTCAACCCCTCTGCTATGGGCAGGGACACTCTCCAGCATCCCAGGTCTCACCAAGCCCCTTCCAGCCTGGTCTGGGACACATCCAGGAGCAGCCACAGCTTCTCTGGGCACCCTGTGCCAGGCCCTCCCCACCCTCAGAGCAACAGCAGCCAAAGAATGCCTCGTATCAAGAGCCCATATTCAAGAGACAGCAGCACAAAGCTGCCCTCAGAAGCACAGTAATTTCTTTGGGAGTTATAAAACCAGGCACTAGCACAGCAATGTAATAAATAATAGAACCTGGTGAATAATGCAAATAAAACATTTTCTCTTCCTATTTTTCATGTTTCTAAATATATTTCCTTTCGTCGCTGTCAGGCCTATTCTGCTTTGCCTTTCACAAGCCTTCATGCAGAGCAGAAAAAAATTGCAAAGGACTTGGGAGAGAAGCAAAAGGGCTGCTGTCACCCCTGCCTTGTTCCCCCTGCCTCTGCCTTGTCCCCCATTCCTCTGGCACACTCTGTCAGGACCAGGAAGCCGGGGGCTGGATTTAGATTCAGCAGGAAAGTTCTCCTAGCCTGTAATTATGCTGACAGCTCCACGAAAGCTTTACTTTGGGACTAATTAAGACTTATTAGATTTGAAAACAAACAGAACTTGGTTCTTTCCAGTATGATAGACCCTTTACAAGTGCAAAGCAAAAAGGTGAAAATGAAAAAAGAATGGAAATGCAAGGAGAAAAAAACAAGAAAAGAGGTCTGTGTCCAGCATTTTGAGTCAGGGCATGGAGCCCTTCATGACCATCACCACTGGAGATGGTGGCCAGAGGGACAGAGCCTGACCAAGAGCTCTTCACCCACTGGTTAGGGCCACTTGCACATTGCTCCCCAGTATCCTGTGGTTAATGTTGTGAAGCAGGAGGGAAATTCAGCCTTTCAGAGTGTCTGATGGCTGAGAGATGGGGCAGGAGGGGAGGCAGCACATACAGCATCTTGGGGTGAAGGGCTGCACTTCCACAGCTGCAGGAGAGAATGCACAACCTGAGCTTGCCTCGGTCAGCATGAATGTCACCTTAGTTTGTGTACTGAATACCTAATGTCAGTGCAGCAAAAGGACACTACAGCAGTTTTTTCAAAAAGACACAGGAGCTGCACCCAGCTGGTGCAAGGAGGGGATTTCCCTGTCCCCAGAGACAGACAATAAATGCGGTTCATTCACTCTTCTCATAGACTTTTCTCACATTAAGAGCAGAAGATGATGAGAGTGTGTGTGCTGAGCTGCAGTAAAAAGGGAGCGCCTGGGTGCCGAGCCCAGCACAGCTGCTGGAGTGCCAGTGCCCTCTCCTGTTCAGTGCGCACCAGCTCGTTCCACAGCAGGTCTGCACGCCTTCAGAGCCTGGGGAAACATTCCAGCCTGACATCCTGCTAACAGTCCATTAAAAATGGTGTTTATAAGGTTAAGGGAAATGTGAAAATGCTGCAGAATTTCTGTGGACACTGTGTTCTCTTTGCTGCAGTCCAGAATAGTTATCGGGCCATTTAGGAAGAAATAATCCTCAAACTATCCCATGTCATTATGTACAGCAGGTTTGCATCTTCTTTCCAGAGCACATCTTCAATGACATCCACTTTTACTCTGTGTGGCTGTAACTTGAACTTCAGCCACTGCCAAATATATTCACAAAGTCACAGAGGAGGAAAGCGAGGCCAAAGAGAGTCATCAGGGATTGACATTGGGGTTTATCCTCCCACTCTGCCTGGACAGTTTTCCAGACTTTTTACACTGTCATGGAATTACAACAGCACAGATTTATCCCCGTGTTACCACAGTATTAAAAGCAGTGGTGCTGCTACAAAGTGTTTCCCAAACAGTTCTCTTCTCAGCCCAAGGGTTTCTGAAGGGCAGCTGTGATGAAGTTTTCTGGTCTGATATTATTAAGCATCCTAAAGCAATGGAAAGAATTAAAAGGATGAGTAGCAAATCTTTTCACTACTGGAAAGTGGGAATATTCCCAGGGACACTGTCCCCAGATGCCTTTAGAATTGTTATTGATGTGCCAGCAGAGAGAACATGTTTTCCTCCTTCTGAATCACCACTGCCTGGAGCCATGCTGTAATGTGGGAATTCCAGCACCAGGCTACTACAATGAATGAAGGTGTCCAGCTCCCATCCTTGAGAGAGTTGTCACTTAATGACACATGACAACCCTTAATGGCTTAAAACTAAGACAAAAATAACCCAAGGCTCCTCAAAACAAGCTCAGCTGAGCAAGGTTTCCAGCAAGGGCACTGCAAACTGAGCGGTGAAAGCCCCCATTCAAACAGGATTTCCTAGTTCCTGACCTGTCCTTGTAACCCCAGCAGTGACCTTTCCTCCTGCCCCCCCTCACAGGCTCACACAGCCTCACATCCCCAGGGGCCAGGGCACCCAAGAGCTCAGGGGGGAGAGGGGTGACACACAAACTGCTGAGACCACCTCAGCCCTAACCAGGCTGACAGAAACAAGCCTGATCAGCTCATGGAGAGCAAAAAACACCCAGGTTAAGCAGAGCAGGAACGTGTTTAGCACCTCTCAGCTTTAGGAAGCTTACCACCACCATTGAGCAGGAAGGAAGAGCTCCTGGAGACCCTGCTGGGCAGAGCATGGCTTTGGTGGCACTGCTGTCACCAGCACCAAGAGAAATTGCCCTACAGGGAGCCAGGGATAGACAGTACCTCCTGGTAAAGTCAGACTCTCCTCCTGGGGAGCCATCTGAAAGCTAAATTGCTCTAACTGGAGCAATACCAGTTTGCCCAGCTGAAAACCAGGGCTTAGGTGAGCTGGCAGAAACAGCTCACCCTCTGAAGTGGCTCTCATGCCCCTCTCACTGTCTGTTATTCTCACCAGCACCAACCAGCAATGGACTACAAGAGCAGGGTCTCTGTGATCATAGATAGACAACCTGACACGATGTGTTATTTCTTATATATTTCCTTTATGCTTTTCTCCAAGTAAAATTAATAAGATCAGACAAAATTTCACACTAAAATGCTGTCTAGGGTGTTGGTGGCACTATATTTATACAGTATCTCTCACCTTAAAAGATGTATTTACCTGTACAGCAGCTTAAATTGATTCTGCTTTGTGTTCTGGTCAGAAACAACAAATACAGCTGCTGCTCTGCTATCAGCTGCCAGGTCTCCTGCCACTACTTTTCTATAAACCTATTTGTTGGCAGCTCCTGCTGGGAGCAGAGACCTGGTGTGGTGCTCACAGGGGTCACAGAAGAGCAAGGCCACACTGCAGCCACTGGGTGTTACCAGGGGCCACCACAGAGCCCTGCTCCAGCCAAAGAGCAAAGCCCAGAGCACCTGTGCAAGAGTCCTGGTGGTCACACCCAGGGGACACCCACAGCTCCTCATATGCAGATTTGGACACCTCTAACTTCTTTTTTCTGCAGCTTAGATCTATGGGAGAAAACTAATCTGTCCCAGTTTGGATGCTCACACAAAACCCATCAGTACACCAGGGTTCTTCCAATGATTTTGGGTTTTGTCAGTTCTTTACATAACATATGCTCCCACTGCAATAATTAGAACCAGATCTGGAACTTGCAGAAAGCCAGCAGAGAAATGGGGATTTATTCAAAACCAAGTTTTGGGACTCTTACAGAACAAGGGAGATGTTGCACCAAAGTAAACTGAAGTTCAGAAGACACTAAAGTTGTTTCCACACCACAAACTGTATTGGATGGAGTCTAAAATGAGTTACATGCAATGACTTGTGGCTGTTACTCCAAACTCCCAGTTTGTAGGAGCCCTACCACACTACTCTGAGGAAAAGCCCATCAAGGCACTTCCACATTCATCACCTGTGGATGCCAGACAGACATGCAAGTAGGAAGCAATGCCCCAATTTCTGAGCAAATCAGTCCCAAAGTAAAATCTGACAGGAAAGCCATACATCCAGGAGGCTACCTTTATTGAAATGTACCTTCATCAGGCCAACAATGGCCAGTTTCAGGCCAATTTCATCAGTGAAATCATCTTTTTTTTAATGTCAAAACCCAGGTTTGGGGTCTTCTGGCCTGAAGCAGCAGCAGCTGAGCTGGAGCTCCCTTGAACTGGTTCATGTGCTGTGGTGTGGGTATCCCCTCTGTGCAGGGCACCAGCCAGGTTAGCCCTGGGGAGGATGGAGCCATCCTTCAGGAGGTGACACACACCATGACACTCCAGGTGGGCACATCCTCTGCAGCTGAGGCTCCTGCTGTGGCTCCCCATCAGACAGTGCAGGTCCAGCACAGGCTCTGTGGCAAATCCACCCCACAGCTCTGCTCCAGGCTCTGCATGGCTGCTAAGGGAAGCTGCTGAAGGTTTCCTTCTGTGGGACACAAACATTAATTAATCAATCAATTACTTTAAAGCCATTTATGGCACTAAAGGTCTCTCCTAAAATTCCTAGTTATAGCTGGTGCCTGTGCCTAGCAAGCTGCATTTTTCTCTGCTGATATTCAGTCTTGCTGAGGTAGTGTCACCACTGCAGGGACACCACCATCCCTCACAGTCCCCATCCAGAAAGTCCCTCAGTGAAGCACCACTTCTCCTGTTTTGTGGCCCAAAAGCATCACTTCAAGGTATGATATAACTCTATAAATAAAGACACAATGTATAATACTTGTTATAACCAAATTGCTTTCATAACAAATTGCTAGCAGCCTCTGAAATCTCTAAATACCCAAAATAGAAAGCATTTAATTGCACTCTGAGTCACTGATGGATTTCAGTCCACCTGTAATACTTAAAGTGAGTAGCTATCTCCAACAGCTACCTCCATATTAACAAATAAGAAAAAAAATCAAGTTCCCAGCACACTGAAATCAATACAGCTTTAAATGTACTCATTTGAGATTAATCTAAAGCACTCACACATTGAAAACTGCCAGCTCAACATTTTTCTAGGAACTGAATCACCTTCCCACCAGCCCCACAGGACTCCAAAGAGTATTTCAGATAGGGATAAAATGTCCAAGAAGCCTTTAAAAATGGGGAAAAACTCAGGGTGGCAATAATGAGTAATTTCTGCTATGTACTTCCAAAGGTAAGGGAAAAACAGGGGCTACCCAAAAGAAAATTTAGGGAACTACCCACTGAAGTGATCCTTGGTGTGCAGTCTTCTGCTTTCTTTCAAAGGGAAGAATATTTTATTTCAACTTCACATAATTTCAAAACACAAAAAAGTAAAAAAAGAAACCAAAACAGTGCAGCAAGTTAGCTAAGTAAATATTGGCATTAACTAATATTTATTGAAGGTAAGTAAATAGTGAATGCCAAAGCCTTGGTGTAAAACCAAGTAGCTCTAAATCTGCCCCACTGCACCCAGCACTACAAGCCTCAGACATGCTCACCCCAGTATTATTTTGCATGTTTTAAGTCATGTCTCCACTCCTGAGCATACTCCAAGGTTTGATCAATCCTACACTTACATCAAAAGAGCAAAAAGTTGTAGTAGCTGTGTAAAGAATCAATTTGTAGGAGGAGGGAAAGTTACCTGAATGCACTAATAACTTTATAAGGCTTCCCAAAAGACCATGTCAAAGCATTTGAAACTATAGATCTTCTAAAATCTGATCCATACTTCATTCTACAGCCACAGCAGATGAAAAAGATGTCAGAATTTGTGCTCTAAGTTACTGAAATTCATCAGAATCAATAGGAAACTTGGAACAAAGCATAGCTGCCATTGAGATGAAAACACCTAATTCCTGCTGGCCCTTTGGTGGACTTTGTCTCACAACTGGACACTAGAGGCTATACAGATAATTGCAACACAGACTTATTTAAAACAATGAAAAAATGAGAAGAGGATGTGAGGAAAGGGAAGAAAAAATATGACATATTGCTGAGTGAAAGCAGAGTAAGGAGGTACCACAGGGGGGCACAAGGAGGAAACAATTTGCCAGAATAAGATGCAGATCCACAGCTTTGGTTCTACTTATAGAAATGGTTAAAAATAATAATAATTTTTTTAAAAGTTTAAAAAATGTACTTGCTTGTTTGTGGCAGCTGTGTCTCCCGTTCTGAAGTCCACAGGGATCTCAAGGGCCATTCCTTCCATCAGGAGAGTCACAATAATACAGCAGAGTTATTGATCTGCATTACTCAGTGACTGCTGCATCCATACCAAGGGTGGCAAACAGCCCTGGCAGCCCCTCACCTGGCTCCAGGGCAGATGGGAGGGATTTCACACCGTATGTAAATTTAATTAACCAGGAATTTGAGCTCAGAGCTTTACCTCATCAAGGTAGGCTCAGGGAAAATCCACGTGGCATCAGCACACTCAGCCAGGCTCTGGTTTGCTGAAGAAAAGTGAGTTCTGATTCCTGGGCTTCACAAACCTGGAGTCTGTGGAAATAGTCTGTAAAATGGGATTTCAGTTACACCTGAGCTGGAACTATTAAAAAAAAATTTCTTTTGCTTTGAAGTCTTTGATGCAGGGCCAGAGCCATTGGTGCAGATTCAATCACAGGAATTATTTTGGTTTGACATGAACATCTGTTCCCTCCCTGTGCCCCTCAGGCTGGACAGGAGCCAGCCTGGCTTTGGCTCACATTCTAAGTGTGTGTAAAAACTTCTTGGGTTGGCAGACCAGACCTGTTTGACACAAAAACAAAGGTGGCAGTACGGCCCAGGTGGAACACAAGCCTGCTTCAGCTCACAGTCACCACAGCCATCTCTGACCCCCTCCACACACGCTGGCAGACTGCACAGGGACCTTTAAACAACAGCCAAGCCAACCTGGCCAGCCAGGGGCAAGACCTGGCATGAGCCCAGGGCTCCTCGCCAGCCCCAGCAGCGTCACTGCACCCTCAGCACCTGCAGCACCTGCAGCACCCTCAGCACCCACAGCACCCACAGCACCTGCAGCACGGCAGTGCCAGGAGCCAAACCCCACAGCACACTGTGTCCCCACACCACACTGACACCTCAGAACACTGCTCCTCCGCATTTGCACAGCTTTTCCCTTGGAACAACACCTCGTAGTAAGGTGGCACGACCATGTTTGACCCCAAACGTGGCTCGGCCCTGGCAGCTGCGGTGGGCCCTGGCCTGGCTGCCATGAACCCTTCAGAGCAAGCCCTGCAGAACAGGCTGGGGACAGTGTGATAAGGCTGTGGAACAGTGTAATAAGGCTGTGGGCAGTGTGATAAGGCCATGGACAGTGTAATAAGGCCGTGGGCAGTGTGATAAGGCCATGGCTGCCTGTGGCCGGCACTGAGGCTCTGCTGGCTCACACCCTAGATGGCAGCAGCACCCAAGGAATGGGCTGGAAAACCCAAATCTGCCCATTCCTGATGGGTTTTCATGTTCACATAAATCCCATCTGAAGGTTTCCATCTAAAAAGAAATTCCTCTGGAAACCTGAACAAAAGGAGCATGGTGTGAACACAGAGCGTTTCTGGAGGCTGGGAGCCGAGGTGTCAGAGCCCCTCACGGCAGCACGGCAAGGACAGAGCCAGCTCTGCCAGGCAGCCTGCAAAGATCACAGACACACTCTGCTTTTTCTGTCACCAACACACTTTTCTGGCACAGTAATTGAACAAACCCACTGTGAAAGGGTAACTGGGAGGGCTGAACCGCTGGGGAGGGAGGACACCCTCAGCGTGGGGAAACCTTGGCCTGTTTCTCTGTGTAATCCTTTCCGAGTCATAGCCACACCTTACAATAACTACTCATTTCAGAACTGGTGCATCTGTTCCCAGCTCCCTGATGGCTCCTCACTCCCCAGCCAAGAGCACAGTCCCGGGGCAGGGGCACAGCCCTGGCACAGGGCACACAGGGGGCCATGGCTGTGTGGGACGTGCTGGGCAGCAGGAGCTGCAGGGCCATTCCTGCTGCATCCACCCAGGAGCAGGAGATGCACACCCTGTGGGGATTTTTCCAGGAGCACAGGGTAGCAGGAAATGCTGGGTGCCATTCCCTCCCTGACACACAGGACACATCTTACTCTGCAAGGTGTCAGCGACCTTCAGAGAGTCCACAAAAGCCAGCTCACAGCACACTCTTCTTTCCCTGCCCATGCTGGCCCTACCTCTGCTCTCCAATGCTCTTGCAAACGCTGCAGTGCTGCAGTCAGGGCTGCAGTGAACTCCTGGGAGTTCACTCAATCTCCACCCTTCATTCTGAAGAAACATTAATATTTTAGCATCAATGACTATTGATTTTCTTTTTCCATCTTGCATTTCTTGAGCACATCCTGTATGGAAGCAAACTTGAGAGACAAGAAAAGAGAGCAAATAATGTTGTTTAACTTGCAATGTATTACCAGCTTCATGAAGTAAAATGCTAAGCCTGGACTTTTCCACATGGATTAAGTGTCATTGTGGCAGATAACGGACAAAATATGTCTACAAATGAAAACCAGAATGAGATACAAGTAGCAGAAGTGGGAAAGCATCACTCCATCCACTGCCTCATGCATCTCCCTGCAGTAACCAAGGCACCAGCCTGAGCCTCACCCTGCTGGGCTGGGCAATGCCACAGGTTTTACCACGTCACCTGAAAAGCATCTTGGCCTTCTTGTCACCCATGCCACTGCTGTCTGAGAAGAGTTAACTTCGGGCTAGATATTCAAGAGTCACTCTTGTATAATAAAGTCATGATTATGGAGATTACACCAGCTCTGCTGATATATTTGAAAGTTTAAACACAAGAAACACACAGGATTAACAAAAAGTGACAGTTTCAGCTCCAAGGGCCTGCAAAGTTGCCTTCAGCCACAGAGAAAGTAGGCAAAGCAGGCTGTCAGAATGGATTTTGATCTTTATAAAGGCAAGATGACAGCACACTGTGCTTCTAAGGATACAAATACAGCTAGTAAATTCAAGATTTTCTGTTGCACAGTTCTGTTCATCTGATAATCTTAGAGTTCTTCAGCTAAAAAAATAATTTATTCCCCACCAGTCATAGCTGAACAGGCAAAGGCACAGGGAAGCAAACCCACAGGGAAGGGGTGCAGCCCTGCCATCACACAGGGCAGAGCATCTCTTGGCACAGCCTGCTGGATGCCACATTCCAGAAGAAAATCTGGGCTAAAACACAAGAAGCAAAACTCCAGACCCTGGGAGAGCCAGGACTCCTTCCCCACACCTCAGGCTGCCCATACCACCTTGCCTCTACCTGCTAAAACAGGGACAAATGCTGCTTTTTAAATATATTTACACAGTAGCTGGGTCACTGCCACATTATGGGTATGCTCTAGAGTGAGACTCCCAAAAATCCAGGGGTTCCAGCACCACATGGCACTTACAGGACATGAGATCTCTGTAATCCTGGAGAGGATTCTCACCTCCTCCTCCTCTCTACCTGCAAAGATCAGTGAGCTGCAGCACAGCCATCACTGGCAGGTTCACATCTCTCCTTTCCTGTGAGGCTCCAGCATGGGAAGAAGCTCCTCCAGATCATTCCCAAGCAGTGGAAACTGGCAAGGCTCCATAAAGCAGCTGAAGATCTGGCTCCACTTGATAGTTTTATCTGAGATCACGATGAGCTTGACTAGAGGGTGCCAGCTGGATTGCTCTGGGGTACCCTATTTATAGATAACACTTGAAAGGGCAAGTTCAAGGTGATGACCCCTGGTGGGCTGGTTTTGTCTTCCTTCAGGAGATCCCTATTCACACCCACCCCAGTGCTTGCCAGGCAGGTTGGAAAGGCAGCAGATGAGAGCTCCTGGTGCTTTGTGCTTTCTGCAGCCTCCTGGCAGGAGCTCTGCTGCCATCTTGCCCTGCAGCACAGGCCCTGGACAGCTGCACATTCTTCAGACCAAACCTTCATTTTTGTGGTCAGAGCAGTTTGGAGTTTTTTTTCTCAGAGCAATGAGATTCTCAGTGCAGCAACAACAGATCACCACTTTGTAGAGCCATCACCTGCTTGCTGTGAGCACAGCACTTGTTACTTGACTCTGGGCATTTTGTTTCACAAAGAACATTGCAAAATCACTGGCAAGAATCACCTAAGGAATTATTTTTGTTTGCTGAAGGACTGGTTTTCAAAGGGGTAAAAGGACTAGGTATAGTATCTACATAATCCCAAGGGCTCTTTGCATTGCTTTAAAAAACTTAGGAGATATTTTAAAGCATCAGCATCACTCCCATGAAATCCTCTCTGACACAGAGATGCCTCCACTGAGCCTAAACCATGAAGCAAAGCCACAGGCTTAAAAAGGAGAAAGGATTCCCCTCCACACCATTGCATCAGGGCTTTATTTGGGAACTCAGGGCTCTTGGCTTTGTGTAGCTCTTGGTAATACTGCGTGTTGACCACTGTAAAAATTACTTTTTGAAGTGAAACAAAGCCATCCATTGGCAACTACAGCCAATGCTGAACCTGGCCAGCAGGAATACAAACCTACCCAGTCTAAGCCCAGAGCTATTGCAGCTGAGGGCAATGAGAGCCCAAAGGAAAATTCCCTTCACCTTCCAAGGCTCCTGTACCACCTCATGCACATCACTTATTCCTTCTGATTTTCAGCATCTCCTGACCATCTGTGCATAGTTTGTGCTCACTCAGGCATTGGAACACCTTCCAAAAATCTGAATTTCTGGAGATTTTAGGCTGAAACAGAATAAATAATCTGGTATCTACCTTTCAGGTAATATCCCAGGTTTATGTAAAACAATTTCAAGAAGCCAACAGCTCAGTTGGTTCTTTTCTGAGACATTCTCCAGTAAGTAGGAAGTTGTAACAGGTGTAAATTCAGGGTTAGGATCTCTCAATAAGTCATAGAAGAAATGGACATAACAACATTTAGAGCCTTAAATGATTATGTATCTAATCCTCAGTGTTCTGCCCTTTCCCGTGTACCAAATCACATCAGAATGCACACTATCAGAATCCAACATAAACAACGTTTCACTTCCCAGTTCACAGTATTAGTTACCAACCTGCCAAATCATGAATGAGGAAGGGGCTTGGCCTTAATACAGAACTGCTGAGAAACTTTTAACTTGAATTTCAGCCCTTAGAAAATGGCATTTTTATGCCTTGATCAAAAGCAGGGTCTGGCAGATGTTCTCCTTCCTTTGCAGGTGATGTTTCCATCAGGTGACACAAACTCAGCACACACCTGCACCTTCACAATCCAGCCCAAACCCACCCAGTTCCTTCAAAGCTCATGAATTGTGCAAGATGGAGACAAGAAATCCACATAGTCAAATTTGAGATTGATTTCTACTTTGAAGGGCTACCTGTACTTCAGGAGTTGCAGTTTTGATGACAACCTTTAAGTTTCCAGAGGAGCATGTGCCTTATAGGAAAGGAAAATTCGTTCACTGCTCTTGCCAGTGGTCAGTGTTTTGAGCAGCAGCTGTGGCTTGGCAGCAAGGACAGCAGTGCCTTTTACCCCCTCACAGATAAAACTGTGTTGAGAAGGTCAGCACAGAGCAAATGTTTGACTAATCCAGGTGGAAAGCGAGCCTGGGACGTTACCTGCTCCAATCTCTACCCAAAGCAGGGCCAAGAACAGGATGGAGTCTGCAGTGTCTTCAGGGTTGGAAGCCCCACAACCTGCAGGCAATCCAAGATTATGTTAACTTGGAAAAACCACCACAAATTACATAAAAGCACTTACCAGAAACATCTGGACCTTCAGACAGGCTGTGTTCAGCACAGGGAGAAGTTTCTTGGGTATGGTCACACATGGGAGGAAGAAAACCAGATTCAGACAAGGCTCATGGGTCAATCAGGAAAGATTGAGTTAACCTGGAAACTTACTCTGAAGGAACTCTTAGGTCTTGTCTTGAAGAGATTAAAGACCCAGTTACTGGGATTTAAATATGTTGAACCCATTTTTCTGGAAAATTTCTACACAGGACAGATGAACTGCTCATATTTTGGGATATGCATCTAGGCCTAAGGAATTCTGAAGCTGTTATAGAGCAAGCAGTTGCAGACAAATCAGGTTTTAATTAATAATCTCAGACTCCAAATGAGCTGCATCCTTGCACTGTCATCTGGAAGCACACAAGCCTCTGCAGCTACAACACTCAGTGTAGCTTCAGCAGATTCCTGCTCTGAAAACCGCAATCACTTAAATCAAAGACTTTAAAATTCCTTTTAGCAGCAAGACAAGCATCTTCAGTGATTCACATTAAGGACAACAGTTTCTCCAGGGAGAGGAAAAAAGCCTGCCTACCCCATGGGAGATCACAGATGCTCTTTCACAGGAAGTAATTTAAATGTAGACAGGAAAAAAAAAACAGGTTTCACTGAGTGAGCTTTTTCAGCAGAAAAGCTTGGAGATGAAAGCAAAAATATAAATTATAGTTCCTTCAGGAGAATAAACAGTAGGATTACTGGCAGGGCATTCAATGCAAGTCTCCAGAAGGTGGTCCCCCTCAGCTGAGAAGTTCACTCACCTCTAAGCACAAACCATGCATTTCTTTTCGTTGGGGCTTTCAGGGAGAATAGAAAAACAGGTGTTAGAACACTTTTGTTGAAGACAGCATTAGCTGTCTTCAGCTGTACTCTATGAAACAGATATAGCAATACCACTCTTGCAAACTTATGGTGAAGCTCTCTCCCCAGAGCTTTGAAATTTGAAATATATTCAAAAAAGCACAGCAGGTGTTTTTTTAAAAACAGCCACAAGACTGGCCTAAAGCATACCAAAGATGCACAGATTTTTGTGGTTTGAAAGTGATGTAGAGACTATAATCTTGCAGAGAGGTAACACTAAACACTATAAGTTATTAATTACATGAGATCAAGTAATTACTCACTTTAACAGCAGAATTTGGTATTTTCTCCCCATCTTGATCTCACATACCCTATTATAGATGGTACCCAAATAATTCACTTCAAAAGAAGAGAGCTAGGTTTAAAGAGCAATATAAAAATGGGAAAGCCCAGGAAAAGAACAAACCTGGGCAGCACTGGCCTGCTCTGTGAGCACAGGTACACAGGGCTGCATGGGCAGGAGCTGGACGTGGCCACCTCAGAACT